CCGGAAGTGGCGCTGTGGCTCAAGTGGTAGAGCGCTAGCCTTGAGCTAAAGAGCTGAGGGACAGCGCCCAGGCCCAGAGTTCAGGCCCCATGACCAGACCCCAGAAAAAAAAAAAACTTAACTTCTGGAATTTATTTATGTTTCACCTTACTAATGTGTATAGGAGCCAGTTTCAAAGCAAATTTAGGAAATCCAGAAGAAATATACAGTGCCCTTTTCTCTCAGGCTTATTATCCCTTTCACTACTGGACAAGAGCTGTCTCTCTTAAGAAACCTCTAGCATTTCTTGGATATCACTGTATTCCCAGGTTTATCATGCAAATCTGTCCTTTTACATGTCTAATCCCCTCAGGTGAGGAAAAACAGCTTTTACCTGTTCATTCCAGCAGTGACTGTCACATAATAGCTGCTCAACAAATGTGGATAAACAAATGAGCATTTTCCAAAGCCAACAATGAGCCTACTGACCATTTTCTCTTCTTTACCAAACAGCTCCACTCCTCTGAGCGATTGATTCTTCCACCAGACAGTTCAACTTCAGGGCCTCCATGTCTGCTTCATTTCTACACCGCCTCATTTTAGCAAGAATTCCAACCAGAAACCCCATTCCTCAATATCTGATTACCCATCAACCCTCAGGAGATACTGGAAGACAGGAGCTGCCTTCAGCAAAAATCCTGTTAGGTTGCTCCTGAGTTACTAGGATTGCAGGCATTTTCAACGTATCATTATACAATTCCTTTCTTCCACAGTGTGTACCCAGCAAGTGGACCAACCACACTGTTGCTAGAATGGAATGCTCTCAGGTCCAGCTTCTTGCTGAAGGCAGGAAGTAGAGCTGGGAAAGGTACCCCTCGCTCCACCGGCAGCAGAGGCCAGAGGGGACCTGGCAATCAACACACCGCCAAGTATGACCTTGGTGGCTCTGCCCCTCTCCGTAATTTTCTGAGTGGAGAGGACAGACGCAATTATGCAGTTTGCAAGAGTTCTCACTTATATGAAATCGCCCACACCTACCCACAGCGAGGCCAGCCAAAGAAGCTGCACCTAGGCAGGACATATCGAAGTCGGTGGGTCTGTCGATATTCTCATTGATCAGGTCTGACGTCATCTGCATGACAAATCCGTTCTTACAAACACCTCCATCCGCCCTGTGGGGAGTAGGTGTGTGGGTAAGTGACTACTGCTGAAGTACCACTTTCCGCTTTCCTCTGCTGCTGCTTGGTCTTTGGTAGATTTAATTCCTTTCCATGCTGAGGACTGAGCCCAAGGCTTGCAGCGTGCCAAGCACAAGGGCCTACCCACTGGGCCATACCTCCCCTCAAGCCAACTGAATTTTTTGTTTTTGTGCCTAACTGGGGTTTGAACTCAGGGCCTGGGCACTGTCCCTGAGCTTTTGGGCTCAAGGCTAGTGCTCTACCACATGAGCCACTTCCAGATTTTTGGCAGTTAACTGGAGCTTAGAGTTGCATAAACTTTCCTGCCTGGGACGGCTTTGAACCATGACCCTCAGATCGCACCCTCATGAGTAGCTGGGGTTACAGGTGAGAGCCCAGCCCAGCCTTTTGGATCTCCCAAACCACATCCTTTAGCACTGACCTGGGGGCCAGGTGCCATTGGGTGATAACCAAACATGTTTTCCCTTTGTTCTGGCCATCACTTTTCCCACATGATCAGTCTTACTGGGGACTAGTTCATATTCTATTTGCGATGGGAGTTGGGGGGGGGTGTGGTAGGGCAAGTGTTTGCATGCGCGTGGTTGAGACGTGCCCTCTGCAGTGAAGGGGGTGCATGAATACGCGTGAGCACATGCACGCGCCTGGAGGGCGCGAGTGCGCGAGGCGGTGCATGCCTGTGAGGGAGGCGCGCACGCGTGGGGGAGACGCGTGCACGTGGGGGAGGGGCATGCCCGCGCAGGGACAGGGGCACACATACAGTACCGGATGGTGGTGACCGGGATGTCGATCTCCTTCTGCATCAGCTCGTACAGCTGCTTGTTTCTGGTTAGGAACCGGGTAGGAGAGAGTGAGGTGGAGGTTGAGGAGTGGGATTATCATGAGCCAGGGAACTCCCCTCCCCCATGCAGAGAGCACACTCTGAAGGTGTAAAACTAGCATGCTGGGGGGGGGAGGCCGGGGCGCTGCAGGGGGGACCAGGGAGAATCTGTGACAGACCTTCACCTGCACACATGGAAATACAAAACTAAAATCTGAACTGGGAAGGTGGCTCAGTGGTGGAGCGCTTGCCTGGCATGCATGAGGCCCTGGGTTTGATATACTTCAGCACCACATAAGCAGAAAAAAGCCGGAAGTGGCGCTGTGGCTCAAGTGTAGAGCACTAGCCTTGAGCTGAAGAGCTGAGGGACAGTGCCCAGGCCCAGAGTTCAAGTCCCACAACCAACAAAAAAAAAATAAAAAAATGAAATCTAAATTGTTTTGTATGCGCCTTGAACTCAGGGCCTGGGTGATATCCCTGAGCTTTTCTGCTCAGCACTAGCATTCTACAGCTTGAGCCATAGAACCAATCCTGGCCTTCTCTGAGTGGCTTATTGGAAATAAGCATCTCATGGACTTTCCTGCCTGGGGTGACTTCCAACAGCAATCCTCAGATCTCAGCCTCCTGAACAGCTGGGATTACAGGTATGAGCCACCAGTGCCAGCCAGAGTTTGGTTTGCTCTCTGCAATCTGGGGACAGAAATGGAGTATCTCTAGTGTGCCAAGTACAAGCTCTCTCCCTGAGCTATGGCCCTGAATATTTTCACAAATCACTCAATATTCAGACAACCAAATCTAAGTGACACAGTCCTGTGAAATAGGACAGCAACGCAGAATGCCTTAGCATGCGTGTGTGTACTGATGTGCTGTGTGTACTGAACTGAATGTGGACAGCAGCATGGGCAGGGGGCGTGTTCAGGCAGGAACTGCTTACCTGTATGCTATGGACTCCAGAATGGCACGGACAAGATGGTACTTGCTGGTAGAAGGCTTCAGGCCCATGAAGGCTGCACATGCACAGGGGTCGTTTAAGGGAGCCTAGAGGAGAGGCGAAAGCAGCTCATTAAAGCTCCGTGACAGCAGCAGAGGAGGACTGAGAATACAACAATGGGCTCAGAAGCGGACCTACAGTAAAACAATCTTAAAACGAGATTGCAGACTACAGATTTTGCTAAGCAGGAGGTGGCGACTCTCGGTTGGCTCTCCAACCACAGATCCCAGGTTTTGCTCTGCAAACCACCGACGCTGCTGGAGCAAAGCACCGCTGTCACGGCAGCACGGCCTGGCCCAGGCCCAGCCTCCAGTGCTGCTCGCACTGGCCCTGGAGCTCGGCCAGTGTACTTTGTCAGTGGGTCTCCTTGAGAAGTTGAGGCTACTAGACTTCACAGTGCTACCCCACATTAGTATTACTCAAGGCTGTCACAGTACCTTGAAAGGCATTATTCAATACTGGGACCAGGGCCAGGAAGGTGGCTCAGTGGTAGAGTGCTGGCCTAGCATGCATGAAGCCCTGGGTTCAATTCCTCAATACCACATAAACAGAAAAAGCCGGAAATGGGACTGTAGTTCAAGTGGTAGAGTGCTAGCCTTGAGCAAAAGAAGCTCAGGGACAGTGTCCAGGCCCTGAGTTCAGTCCCCAGGGCTGGCAAAAAAAAAGAAAAACAAAACCTGGGACCATCAACTTTTTTCCCCCTTGGTTCTGGAGCTTGAATTCAGGGCCTAGGCACTGTCCCTAGGCTTCTTTTGCTAAAGCTGTTGTACCACTTGAGCTCCAGATCCACTTCTGGCTTTTTTGGTAGTGAAGATTAAGAATCAGAGAGACTTTTCTTTCCCAGGCTGGCTTTGAACTGTGATCCTCAGCTCTCAGCTTCCTGAGTAGCTAGGATGACAGGCGTGAGCCACCAGCGCCCAGCCACCAACCAACCTTAAAAACAAAACAAAAAAATACCTGTAATCCACTAAAGGAAGGGACAAAATAAACTCCTTCTGAATCTTCCAAACTTTTGGCCATTTTTTCCGTTTCAGCAGCATCTGTGAAAAGATCTGCAAAAACAAACACACAAACCACCACAAAACCCTAAAACAAAACCAAGGGTTGGGGAGGGACAAAAGGAATGAACGTTACAGCTAGTATGTGCTGCACGTGTGCCTTGTGCACTGGCTGTCACCGCTCTAAGGGGCCACATGGGGTCACTGGCCTGCCATCTCACCCTGGCAGGGACAGTGAAGGCCCAGCACATGCGACCCTCATGCAGCGGGCTTTCCTTGTGTGTTCAGTCAAGTCTGGACTGCTTAAAGAATCGGTTCTAAGCCAGGTGTCATCCCAGCTACTCAGGAGGCTGAGATCTGAGGACAGAGGTTCAAAGCCAGCCCAGGCAGAAAAGTCCCCATGAGACTCTTATCTCCAATGAAACCACTAAAAAAATTTAGAAGTGGAGCTGTGGCTCAAGTGGTAGAGCACCAACCTTGAGCAAAAGAGTTCAGGGACAGTGCCCAGGCCCTGAGTTCAAGCCCCACAACTGACCAGGAAAAAAAAAAGAATTGATTCTAGCTGGGACCTGGTATTTCTATAATTCTTGCTACTCAGTCAGGAGGCTGAGTCTGAGGTTTGAGGTTCAAGGTCAGCAGGACAAGGAAAGCTTGTGAGACTCCTATCTCTGATTAGCTACCAAAAAGCTGCAAGGAGAGCTGTGGCTTAAGTGGTAGAGTGCCAGCTTTGAGTGGAAATGCTAAGGGACAGTGCTTGGGACCTGAGTTCAAGCTCTCCTACTGGCACCAAACTGACAAACAAATCCTTTCCTCTGATAAGGGAACCTTTGTCTCTAGGGAGGGTACCTAGAGAAAACATCAACAGGAATTATGGGTAACTCCAAGTGTGTACTCACACACAAGTCTCTGAGGACTGGGTGGAGCTGGAGAGGTGACATGTAGCAATTAAAACTGGTGCTGCTAAGGAGATGACGTGTGGGACTTGGCAGCTGGACGATAGCAGAGGCGAGATCCTTCCAAGTCCCCAGCCAGGTCCTGCTGCTTCCTGTTCCGGCCTCTGCCCCTCCACCAGCTGCCTCCATCTCCCCCCAACCTTCTCTCTCGCCCCCCCACCCCACCTCTCTCCTTTCCTCAGGGTTCAGCTGACATGACACTCAAGACTAAACCTCATCCTTCCTTTGTAAGGCAGTTAGGAATTCTGCTGGTCTCCTCCTCCTCTTCCTCTTCCACTTCTTCTTCCTCCTCTACCTCCTCCTCCTCCTCCTCTTCTTCTTCTTCTCCCCCCATCAGTTGTAGGGCTTGGACTTGGGGCCTGGGCGCTGTCCCTGAGCTCTTTCACTCAAGGCAAGAGCTCTATCACTTTGATCCACAGCACCACTCCCAGTTTCCTAGTTTACTGGAGACAAGAGAATCGCAGACTTTCCTGTCCTGGCTGGCTTTGAACCGTGATCCTCAGATCTCAGCCTCCTGAGTAGCTAGGATGACAGGCACGAGCTACCAGGGCTGGCCTTCTTTTCTTTTTCTAAGAGGAGGTATTGCTGTTTGCCAAGATGACAGTCAGTCGTGAGTGGCTCAAACCTTTTCTACTTTGTTTTATTACATGCTTTTTAAAAAAATTCTCATCTTTTATTTGAAGAATCCATTCAATGTATACTGATATACAATCATGTGACATATGAGTTCTTTTTTTGTTTGTTTGTTTGGTTTGGGTAGCACCTAGGTTTGGACTCAGGGTCTTGAGACCCATCCCTACAGATAACCCTGAACCAGTTACAAGACCGGCCCCATTGGGGGCCCCTGCTCCCAATGAGAAGCTCCGCGCTTACGGATGGGCTGCCTCCAGCCCCTGCAGTCGAATGCTTAAGTGTGGCCTGTGAAAGTCACTTAAGGGAGGACTTACCTAGCTTCTGAGCCCACAGTATGGCGGTGCCCGTGTCCCCCGCATTGCCTTCGGCTAAGCACACAATTTCTTGTCCAATCTTCCACCCAACCAATGGATAAAAGCCTTAGAATGCAAGCAAACAGTGTTCGTCAGAAATACACGTCTCACAATTGTGTATGACACAATTACTTGATCATATACAAAAAATAAATCGCAAAGTACCTATGAGATCAGAATACCGGAGTTCGAATCCTAGACCTCTTAACATTATAAGCAATGATCTTTTCTTTTTGGTAGCAATGGAATTTGAATTTAGTCTCTCCAATACTTAGTCCTTTTTGCTTTAGGTATTTGTGTTTATGTGCCAGTCCTGGGGCTTAAACTTGAGGACTGAGGGCTGTCCCTGAGCTTCTGTGCTCTAGGCTAGCACTCTACCACTTGAGCCACAGCTCTAAATTTTGGCTCTTTTTTTTTTTTTGTCGGTCATGAGGCTTGAACTCTGGGCCTGGGCGCTGTCCCTCAGCTCTTCAGCTCAAGGCTAGTGCTCTACCATCTGAGCCACAGCACCACTTCCCGTTTTCTGGGTGGTTTATTGGAGATCAGAGTCTCACAGACTTTCCTGCCGGGGCTGGCTTTGAACCGCTATCCTCAGATCTCAGCCTCCAGAGTAGCTAGGATGACAGGTGTGAGCCACCAGCACCGGCACCCGGCTAATTTCGGCTCTTTTGGGTATTTTTAGGATAAAGTACTGGGGGTTTTGCTCAGGATCACCATTGGATTACCATGCTTCCAGGCAGTTGGGATTAGCAGCATGTACTACCATCTCAGGCTTATTGAGTGGGGCCTGGCTAGCTTTGTTCCTCGGTTGGCCTCTATCATGATCCTCCCCAGTAGTTGAGATTACAGCTGAGAGCCATCATGCCCGGCCACCAGCTCTGACTCCTAAGCTCTTAGCTTCCATTTCCTCCTCTAGGAAACAGCCTACCGAGAGCAGCTGTGGGAGCGGGCTGAGGCAGCACAGGACCCAGCTTAAAAAGAAGCAATAAATGTCACTTAGTGAGTTGCTCAGTGGTACGGAGGCTCAAGCCCAGGGCCTCCGCACATTAGGCCAATGGTCTGCTACTGAGCTCCACCCCCGCCCTGAACATCAGTATAAGTAGGTCGCATCAAGGTCTCTATAGACTTGTGGCAGCAGGTATTCTGAAGAACTGAGGTTACCCTGACATTGGCTCCCTAGAGAACTGTGTCATCCTGTTTATCTTGCTTCCCAACTCCTCAGCAGAAATGCCCATAAAACAGTGAGCAGTGTGTTCTAACTTCCGTTTTCCCAACAACTGGAAGAAAGGAAAAAACAAAAAACGTAAAACTGGCTGGGCACAGACGGCTTGTGCCTGTAACCCTAGCTACCGGGGAGGCAGGAGGCGGACGACAGGGAAGATCACGGTTTGAGGCCAGTCTGGACAGAAAAGCCCCTAAGACTCCCTTCTCCGAGGAGGAAGCTGGGTGTGGTGGTACATGCCTGTAATCCCAGCGAGTTTGGGAAGTGTAAAGTAGGTGGGTGGTGGCTTGAGCATCCACCCAGGTAGGAAGTGAGACCACATCTCAAATATAACCAGTGAAAAACAAGGCTGGAGGCTCAACAGTATCATGTCTGCCAAGCAAGGGCCCTGTCCTGAGGTCAAATCATCAGTCAGGCTGTAAAAACAGAAATAATAGTAGAAAGAATTTAAAACACTAGGACCCACCATGTTCCCATGACTCAGTTCCACAGTGGGGTCTCCAATAGAGACAGTAAATCTTAGCAGTTGTCATTAAGACCCTAAAAATGATTCGGCTTACTAGTTGGCTATCCTAGCTACTGGAGAGGTTGAGTGAGATCTGAAGATCATGCTGCAAATTCAGCCTAGACAGACAACTCTAAGAGACTCTTACCTCCAATTAACAGGCAGAAATACACAACGGGAGGTGTGTCTTAAGTGGTAGAGTGTCAGTCATGAGTAAGAAAGCCAGGCGAGAGCAAGAGGCTCTGAGTTCAGCCCTAGTACTAGCATAAAAAACAAAGGGAAAAGAGAAAGAGAAAGGGGGGGGGACTTTACTTCCTAGTTTAAATTGCTCTGTGGCTACCTATGGCTACAGGTCATGTCTACTCTTTGTGTCTCAGTGCCAGATAGACAAAAGAAAAAGAAAAAATAAAGGAAATGAAAAGGGTTAGGAAAGGGGAAAAATTAAAGCTTGAACGTGTCTCAGTGATAAAGTATTTGTCTATTATGTGCAAGGCCCTGGATTCCATCCCTAGCACTACAAAAACAAACAAAAAAACCCCAACATGTTACACAGGTAAATATCTGGGAAGCTAATAAAAATACCCTAATCCTTCTGATTTTTTTCTATCTTTGTTTCCTGTGTATGTGTGTGTGTGCATGCCTGTGCATACCGGTTTTGGAGCTTGAACTCAGGGCCTGGGCGCTATCTCTGACCCTTGCAGCTCAAGGCTGGCGTTCTGCCACTTGAGCCACAGTTCCACTTCAGCTTTTTTGGTGGTTCATTGGTGGCAACAGTCTCACAGACTTTCCTGCCTGGGCGGGCTGGCTTTGAACTGAGAGCCTCAGATCTCAGCCTTCTGAGTGGTTAGGATGACAGGAATGAGCCACTGGCACGTGGCTTCCTTTCAGTGCTGTTCATCTGACCCTTTTAATGTAAAGGAAAAAAAGTGGAAAACGTCTCTAAGAATAGGATGAGAACATGAGATGGGGACATGCCGTCAGGAAGTGGCGCGCAGAGGCAGACAGGGAAGAGCGGCATTTTACGTAGCAACAAGCCACCGCCTCACCTCCCAGCGTGTGCTGCGGGCGGTTTCCAGTGTTGATGTCCAAGAACGTCCCCGTGCCCATGGTGAGCTTCACGTCCCCCCGGTGGAAACAGCACTCCCCGAACATGGCCGCCTGCTGGTCGCCCACCTGCGGAGTGCTCTCGTGAAGCCAGCACCCAGACAGTCCCTCCCTCCCTGCCCACCCGTTCCCTGGCCTGCGGCTTCCCTTTGTTTGGGGATTTGGAGACCGGGTCTCAGGATGGAGTCTGGGTTGACCTCAAGAACATCATTCTCCTGCCTCAGTCTTCCAAGAGCTGGGATTACAGGCATTTGCTACCATGCCAAGCCTTGCATAGAGAGGGGGTGGGGGGGAGAGGGAGAGAGAGAGAGAGAGAGAGAGAGAGGGAGAGAGTGTGCGTGTGCGTGCGTGTATGTGTGTAGGTTGAAATGGTTCTGAAGAGTTGTGGTAGAAGATTGGCCAGATGGTATTTCTGGTTATGTCCAGGATCCCTAAATAAGGGAGGGAAAATGCTGTGGGATTCAATGTCTGTCCTTTAACAAATGCCGGGGATTGTACCCAGACCAGCACCTATCATGTAGCTACACTCTTCAATTCTGGTCTGCCGAGTACTTCTTGCTCCTCTGAAAGCTAGTCCCTATTGTTCAGTGTTTGTGATGCCCAAGGAGACCCTCAAGCCTTCTACGTACCAAGGCAGTTATTGGGATGGGAACACCAAATATCTCTTCATCCACGGATCCAAAATGGTAGCTTCAAGGAAGATGGACTGGAGAGTTAGTTTATAGCTGGGGAGGATTCAATCCAAACCTCAGCCCCTCCCTCTTTCTCAGATGAAGAACACACAAGCACCCGCCCGCCCTCACCCCACTGCTCGAGGAAGGGCGGGGGATGTTTTCCGGGCTGTGTGATATTCCTTTTTACCTGGTGTCCTTCACGGGGGGCAGGACAGAGAGCGGGATGGAGGTCATGAAGGTGATGAGCCCGCTCCAACACATCTGAGCAAGAAAACACAGCACGAGCCGCTCAGGCCCACCACCCACACCGCGATGCGCCTCCGCACGTCGCCTGGGGCCGCCGACACCCGCGAGGCTGGGCACTTAGAAAAGGACCAACCAAGCACAGAGCCCGAGCTGAGCTACAGGAAAGCTGCTGGTTGGAAAAAGAAATCTTTACCTTGAATGGGTCAAAACATCCAGTGGTGCTAGCATTGGAGACGTCTGTGGCGTAGACCGAACCTGAATTTACACGAGACGCGCCTTCATCATTATAAACACGCACTTGTTGTCGTGATGCATTTGTTGTTATAAACTGATAGATCCTCAGTTTTTTTCTTTTGCTAGTACGTACCAGGTTTGAACTCATTCCGTTTGTCCGCTCGTGGTGGATGCTCTGCCACCTGAGCCCTGCCTCTACCAGCCAGCCAAGCTTTTTGGTAGTTATTTTAAAGATGGAGTCCAGCACACTTTACTGCCTGGGCTGACCTTGAACCTCAATCCTCCAGGTCTCAGCCTCCTGAGTAGTTTAGGATCATAAGTATGAGCCACCAGAGACTAGCTAGCTTTATCCTCCAAGTCATTCTGTATGCTGTCTCTAGGGAAATTTCCCACTTAATCTTTTTTTTTTTTTTTTTTGTTCTGTCGTGGGGCTTGAATTCTGGGCCTGGGCACTGTCCCTCAGCTCTTCAGCTCAAGGCGAGCGCTCTACCACTTGAGCCACAGTGCCACTTTCGGTTTTCTAATGGCTTATTGGAGATAAGAGTCTCATGACTTTGCTGTCCGGGCTGGTTTTGAACCATGATCCTCAGATATCAGCCTTCTGAGTAGCTAGGATTACAGGTGTGAGCCACTGGCGCCCAGCCCACTTAATCTTTATGAACGGTTATACTTTACAAAAAGCATTTTCAATACAGCAGTTATATATTACTAATCTTGGATCTGTTCCTGAATTCAAATAGCAAGAATTTCCCTTTGTTTACAAAAAAAAGATTTCAGTAGTTCATAAAGAACATTATATTCTCCTCCCCACCCCACCTGTCAAAAAAAAAAAAGCATCTTCATAGATGTGAGTTCGGAGCCCCAGTTTAAAGTGAGGAAAGAGGCCATTGCTGAGTTAACTGCAAGCACAGTGAGGCCCAGTCTACCACTCAGATCACACACTAGCCCTTTCCGCTTTATTTTTCAGTAAGGTCTTAGGCTTTTTACCCTGGACTGGCCTTGGACCACAATCCTCCTATTTACATTCTCATGTAGCAGGAAAAGAGCTGAGCATCACCACACCTGGCCTGTTGGATGAGATGGGTTCTCCTCTAGCTTTTTTCCCAGGCTGGCCTTGCACACTGATCCATCCGCTCTCTACCTCCCAGGCAGCTAGGATTACAACACTGTTGGCTGGTCTTAGATTTTTGAGCTTAATTTTAAGACCATCCTCTGCTCAGCACAAACTGAAGTACTTCTCCCCTTACTGACACGTGCGGTTACTAGGTCCCAAAGGGCAGTGTGACCCGGGGAACAGGAAAGAAAAAGGGGCTGGTAGGAAACCTCTTGAGTCGTCTCTTCCAGTCGTTTCATCTGAGATCTGTGGAGAAGACCACCGTGAGGGTCACCTCACCTTTTGTGAGCTTGTGCAACAACCAGGTGTCGATGGTCCCAAAGCAACAGTTGTCTTCCTCCACCGCCTTCTGCACCTTCAAAACAGGACAGCACAATGGGAGCTCGCGGCCACCTCAGAGCTAAGTGCCAGAGCCTGTGCCGGCCAAAGCCTTGCACGTAAGAGTACAGAGTATAGTCTAAAAGAGGTTAAGCATGGGGCTGGGAGGGTGGCTCAGTGGTAGAGCGCTTGCCTTGCATGCCTGAGGCCCTGGGTTCAATTCCTTAGTACCACATAAGCAGAAAAATCTAGAAGTAGTGCTGTGGCTTAAGTGGTAGAGCGCTACCCTTGAGAGGGACAGCGCCCAGGCCCTGAGTTCAGGCCTCATAACAGGCAAAAAAAAAAAAAAGTTAAGCAGTTAGCTAAGAGATGAGATTTAGGGGGTATGGCTTTGCCTCTGTGGTCCTTCTAAAAACCTTAATTTTACACTAAGCGTGTTTAATTTTGGTTTTTGTTTTGTGCTGGTCTTGGGGCTTAAACTCAGGGCCTGGGCTCTGTCCCTGAGCTTTTGTGTTCAAGGCTAGCGCTCTACCACTTAAGCCATAGATCCAATTCTGGCTTTTTTTTGGGGGGGGGAGGGGAGTGGCTTGCTTAATTGGAAATACTCTCATGGACTTTCCTGCCTGGTGTGGCTTTGAACCGTGATCCTCGGATGTCAGCCTCCTGAGTGGCTAGGATGACAGGTGTGAGATACCAGCAGTGCCCAGCTATCTTACATGCATGTTTTACTATGTGATTTAAAAAAATAGGAGGCTGGAGCCCGCTGGTGGCTCACCTCCCTGTAATCCTAGCTACTAAGGAGGCTGACATCTGAGGATTGAGGTTCAAAGCCAGTCCAGGCAGGAAAAGTCCGTGAGACTCTTATTTCTAATTAACCACTAGAAAACCAGAAGTGGTGCTGTGGCTCAAGTGGTAGAGTGCTCCCTTGAGCTGAAGAGCTGAAGGACAGAGCCCATGTCAGTCCCACAATTGACAAAAAAAAAATGGTTTGTTATTTTGCTTTTTGTAGTACTGTAAATAATGTTTGAACGCTGGCAAAAGCAAACTTTTTGGATGTTTTGGAAAAAAGTCTCACTATGTAACCCAGGCTGGACCTGAACTTATGACCCTCCTCTTTGAGCCTTCAAAGACTTGGATTACAGACATGAGCCACCACACAAGTAGATTTATCAGACACTTATAGACAAGTCTACCCAACTGCAGGAGAGATAATTCTTCTCTATTACATGTGGCAGCCCCAGTGTGAGACCACAGTGGAAACGATCAAAACCATACAACGTTTGTTCTCTGACTATAAAGAAATGAGACTGAAAGTAAGCAATAGCAAGGCACTAGCGCTCACACCTATAATCCCTGAAGTTCAAAGCCAGGCCGGGTAAGAAAGAAAGTCCACAGGACTCTTATCTCTTAATTAACCAGCAAAAAAAGTTGGAAATGAAGCTGTGGCTTAAGTGGCAGAGTGCCAGCCACAAACAAGAGAGCTTAACGAGCTTTCTTGGAGCTTCCTTTCTCTCTTCAAAGTAGGAGCACCAGGTCCTGAGTTCAAGTCCTGATATCGGCACCAAAATGCAGAAAGGTTTAATTAAAAAGCATGCAAGCAAGGAAGGATCCTGGACTTCCACTCCACCCGTGCAGGGCACATCCCTTTCCTCACGAGTTGAGTTCTGAGTTTCTCTCCACTTCCAGCCCTGAGCTGCCTCTAACACTACCACCCGCTGCTCACCTCTGGTACGTTTTGCAAAACCCACATCAGTCGTGGACAGGCTTGCTGGGTGGTGAAGACAAAGCGGCTCATGGTTAACATTCGCTGACTTCTGCTGACCAAGTGAAGCAGTCGGCAGGAGTTTTGCAATAGCTGTGAGACACAGGGACAGAGGGACACACACACAACAAACTGTAAGGAAAAGGCGTTTGCTGGTATTGGGTATCTCTTGACTTATTCCTCAAAGCGAAGCCAGTGAGGGACAGGTCGTTTCGTGGTTTAGTGCTGTTGTCAACACTATCCCCACACTTCAGAACATCAAAAACAGCAGTGCCATTCCAGATGGACAGTCTATTCTAACAACAAACGTAACCCGTCGATTGTGAACTCCTTTGTGAGTACCCAAGGCTTAGGTGCTATGAATTTAAAAAAAAACAAACAAACTCTTTTTCAACTGGGTATGGTAACATATGTTTGTAGTACCAACTCCTCAGGAGGCTGAGGGAGGAAGACCATCTGAGCCCAAGAGTTCAGGCCAGCTTGGGCAACACAGCCTGTCTCAAATATAAAATAAGCAGGCCAGATATCGGTGGCTCAC